AAGTCTGGACAAGGCCAGCAGCTGCCTGGGTCCATTTCCAAGGGTCACTGGAATAGTTCACTCTTCCCCTCTCAGGGGAATGGGACTGGAGAACCCACAACGGCTCTTTGAGGCCACTTCATAAACATACCAGCAGGCAGAGACCTCATCTCTCAAAGAAAAGGCCCAGGATTGGTGAGATGGCCTGTGGCCCTAGAAAAGGCTTCAGGCTCCTCCTCTCTACCCTGAGGGCTCTGGGCAGGCACAGACTTGCTCCTTCCCCACTGCAGTCCCCATGGAGGTACACACAGGGGCCAGGTGTGCAGAGAACTCACTGGCTGATCCCTTCTCATTAGTGTTGGCCTGTAAGAACGCCACGTTCATCATCAGCCTGGTACTGTTTTTCCAAGCATTACAATCATTCCTCAATTCTCGAAGGACAGAGGTTTTCACTACCTTGAAATCCCTACCTAAAAAGTCTTGCCTTGGACTAGCATCACCCAGCCTCTTCCCATGGGTGTTGCCAGCAGTGCCCAGGGAAGGCCCTGCCCACACTTTGGTTGGTAACAGTACACTGCTTGGAAAGCATGGATAATTCAAATGTCTTGAGCTGTTCAAAGAATCCCAGGTGGAGTTTAGATCTTCCACTATCTAAAATACAAAGACCAACAAGGAGCATAGACACAAGACCACAAAATGGGAAGCTGCTTCAAGAAATCAATCATTAAACTAAAGTTCATCCCCTCTAACTCAGTAACTAGTTTTAATCACTGAAAACCTAAAATCAGCACTTGAAAATGATTTTTGAAATATAATAGATCCTTACTAGTTTCACCCTAAGAAATCATTTCTAAGTTCTCCAAAACACCAGAGTATCAACAGACAAGTCTAGGAAAACAAGAGTATTTGTGTTGGATTTCAGGCTTCTTTTGGCTGCCAGAAAAATAATTCAAGGTTTACTTCTAGTTGAGCTCTAATGACCCTTAGTGGTCCCTGAACTTCACCGCTGCCAGTTATTATCTTACACACACAAAGTTAGAACGAACAGCATATGCTAGTCACTATGCTCATTTAGGGAATCCAGGGCATTGTCTAATTTTATACCATAAACCACCAAGATACTGGCTTGAACATAGCATGAATAAGCAAGCACCCTCCTGGGAGAAAGCCCAGTGCCACCTGACCTCTGATTTATTTGCTATCAGCTCTGCCTGGTTCCATCCAGCTGCCACCATTAATACCCTAGGCTAGTGGGCAACCCATGATGTGGAAGTGTGTTCAGACACTAGAATGGAACTGCCCCCCATACTAGTGACTGACCTGGGTGCTCATACTTGCTGAGCACATGCACATCCACTCTGAGGTTCACAGAGGCACCAGCTCTCAGCAGGAAACCAGGTGCTCTTGCTAAGTAACAACACAGAGAAATCACAATCTGAGTCCCGTCTAAGGCCACTACCTCCCACTGGTCCATCCCAAGGAGCCTACCTAGAATGGAGCCTTAGGAGTATGAGTGAATGTTTGAGGACTTAAGACACCAGGGCAACCACAACTGCACCCACTTGAGGATGGAAATGAGTGGAAGGTAGAGAGCTTCCTACCAGCCCCTCGTCCATCTGAATGCACCATGTTGCTGCTGCTAGTGTCGACATCCTAGCCACGTCCAGCACCT